TCTTCCTGTGGAAGGATCCCCAGCCACCAAGAAACTGTAGTTGCCTTTATCATCAGAAACAGATGCAAAACAGATTGAGAGATACAAATGCAAAAGAAGATAACATATTTTTTACTAACTGAACTTTAAGGGAGGTCACAACAACTCAGATAAAACAGGACACGAGAGAGGTTGACCTCTCATCTTGAAGAGTCATAAATGTGATAAGGACCCAGCCTAGCTTACTTCCCTATAGTCTCCTCATATCACTCAACTTATTTGAATATCACCTTTCCATATAAACAGTACTTTCATGGCAGTTCCTAACAAAATAGGACAGAAAAACATAAATAAGATGCAAACATTATTGAAACAAGTAAATAAGGGAGTAGTAACTGACAAAGCAGCATTCCAACAGTCATGAAACAAACATCAGTTACATCGCAGGAAAATAAAGCATCAACAAATCAGGCGGGAATTGTAATTAGCTAAGCATTCATTCCTGGGGAGGGAAGGCAAAATGGGAGCAGAAGAATTCTATCCCACCAATGACATTTTCCTTCAGTCCCCAAATTTGTAAAATTGAGGAGAGTCAGATTCTGGAAATCATTCACCCCAACTGCTCTTACATTTTCTTTGTTCACATTCCCTTGGTACGTTTTGTTTGGATGACTAAAATGTATTTCGTAATTCTCAACTGAATCAGCCTCCCTTAAAACACAGGCACACACACATAATCTATCGGTAATTAAGCATTGAACATTTTAGTTTCTTTGTCTGTTTATTCAACACATTCTCACAGATCTTCTATTATCACCCTGATTTTGTGCAAACTACTAAGTCATGGCCCACTGAGAGTATCGTAAGTGGTTCAACACAGTACAAAGAGCTCTGTCCAAATGCTGAGTCTTTTTAATGAGACACACCAAGATAACCACATTCCAGTGGTGTAAATTGCAATGTAGTGCAGCCAGAAACCTGAGCCATTAATCCCATTCGCATACTTCCAAGCTCAAGAGCCTTATCATATGGTGTTTTATCAGTCTGGGGGTCACAAAATTAATGGTGAGGATCAAAAGGGCCTTCCGACGTGAAAAGACAGCTTGGCAGTTGGAATCAAGGCAGCTTTTAAAAGAGATTCACTTTCACACCTATGCAATTACCATCCTGATTTTTTCCCCCCTTTTGGCTTTTAGTCCAGCCAGACAATATACCTTGTCTCAGCTGTCGTGGTGCATTATGTCCTTCAAGTCCTTGTGTGCTTTGCATGCACACACATACACACTCCTGTCCTCCTGCCGAATTGCATTTGGAGCAAGCTAGCGAGGGTGGCTTCAAGATATAGGCTGCAAGCTGGAAAGGTCAGGCGGATGAAAGCAGTTGATTGGAATCTTTAACGTAAAGACGTCACGGGCAAGCCAGAGAGTGCCACTCTATTACGCTCGGATGCAAGCAAATGAGTCATCAAGTGATGCTGCTGTTTTTGTAGGACAAGAAATAGAGGGGAGAAGCCATTGGTTGCATTGTACACCAATCGTGCTTGTGTAACTAGGGATCTTTTCAGTCCTCTCTCCCCCCACCACCTCCCGCAGCCACTGCCCCCTAAATCTTTTTAGAAATGCATTTAAAAATATATATTCTGGTACGCTTGCACCTACCTTTCTCTTCTTTTCTACTAATTAGGGCAATTATGCCCTTTTTTCCTCCCATGTTAGCAATTTTTTGTTTCCATTTCATTTACCATCTCATTATATTACAATGTATATATTGCTTGCAAAAATTCAGTGTTTCTCAATCTGGGGGTCAGGAACCCTGAGGAAGTCATCAAAGATAATCAGAAAACACATATTTCTGATAGTCTTAGGAACCCTTTTGGCAGAGAAGGCTGAAGATCTCTCCGCTTATCCTTCCCTTTTGGTGTTGGTGAACTACAACTCCCAGCATTCAAAAGCAGCCCCCCAACCCCTCCAGTATTCAGTGCTGGCCATGTCAGTAGTGTGCCAAGTTTGATGCAGATCCATTGTGGGATGGGTTCAAAGTGCTCTTTGATTGTAGGTTAACCATAAATCCTGGCAACTACAACTCTCAAAGCTAAGGTCTATTTTCCCAAACTCCACCAGTGTTCACATTTGGGCATATTGAGTATTGATGCCAAGTTTTGCCAACATTATTTGAGTCCATAGGGCTCTTGCTCATGGGAGTTCTGTGTGCCAAATTTGGTTCAATTCCATCATTGGTGGAGTTCAGAATGCTCTTTGATTGTAGGTTAGCTATAAATCCCAGCAACTACAACTCCCAAATGACAAAATCAATACCCCATCCCCCCAGTATTCAAATTTGGGCGTACCCCGTATTTGTGCCAAATTTGGTTTATTGAATGAAAATGCATCCTGCATATCAGGTATTTACATTACGATTCATAACGGTAGCAAAATTACAGTTATGAAGTAGCAACAAAAATAATTTTATGGTTGGGAGTCACCACAACATGAGGAACTATATTAAGGGGTTGCAGCATTAGGAAGTTTGAGAACCACTGCAATAGTTCTTCCGTATTCTCCTTGCTTTTGGGAGTAAAAGAGTATTCAGATTACTAAATTAGTAAGGCTTCTAAAGTCAACTGTTTAGCACTCTAGTAACTAATATTTATATCACGTTGTTACTTCCCTCAAGAGTAAGGTTGTGGTTTTTTTTAAAAAAACTATGAAATTCTAAACAAGGTTCCAGACAACAGAGAAGATGACCATTCATATTATTTGTTGGGGAAGTAAAACAATGCATGTGTATATGTCAAAAGATACAAATGCAGAGGCTTTGAAAAACTTAGGGTGGAATTTTATGGAGAATAGCCTTGCAAACAAACTCGAAATATATAGAAAGATAAATCGTATTTCTTTGCAAAAAGGGACACAAGGGATTGATGCAGTGACAAGAAGGTAGATGGAGCAGTCAGAGGGACTAAGGTGGGGTAAAGCATAAAAATGAACTCTGCCTGGAGACAGGGATAATTCATTAGGCTGCTGCTTACGCAAGTTATTCATCCCAAATCTAAAAGTGTTTCTGTTCTTGCAGACATCTACACTTCTGATCTGGAAATGAATCCCATGAACTTTTCTCATTTTGATTTATGCATCCATTGATCTGTGGGGGTTTAAATTATTGCTGTATTATTGCTAGATTTGATACAGGAACAACTTTGCTGTCTGGGTGTTGAAGAGTATTTTTTGCACCACCTTTCAGTAAAATAAATCTAGGCAACCTGAAATCAATCTTTCTAAAGCAATAATAGCATCGTCATTAAAAACAGAAATTTGCTGGAAAATAAAGAACTAAATTTGAAGGTTGACTCTTGATATATTTTTTTAAAAGGAGAGTGAAGTAAATTTCACAATTTGGGAGAAAGCTTTCTTGTGCATTCCTATTAAGTGGGTCTCTCTAAGTGGCAGTGTCATCAAAACTCACCACAGTTGTTCACCCCATCTTAGAATTGTGTTGAGAAAACAACTGGCAACCAGAACAGAACTTTCAGTATCAGGAAAACAGTATACTGCATACAGATCCTAGTTACTATTATTTTATATAATCTCAAAAACTTCCAAATACTCTTCAACAGTAAACTTTCACATTGCGTTATAAAAATCTAAATGTTATGCAACTAAAAAATGTCTAAATATGCTTGACTTCCTCCTGATGGATTTGGCACAGTATGCAAATACTACCCACCACTCCTGGTAATTCAGTGTAAATAGAGGGTCAAGGAATTCCTGCAAGCTGTGAACCTGTTTTAGGAGGGAAAGTGCAATCCAAAGGTTAATTCACAGTACACAATTATAGTGCTATTATTCCACTTTAACTACCATAGTTTTATTCTGTCGAATTCTGGGTCCTTGTAGTTTCTGGATGTGCCTGAGTATTTTGACTGAGAATTCTAAATCTCCTCCCAAAAATACCATCCCCAGGATTCCATAGGATAGTTAACTTGAAATATTATTGAGTCCCTCTGGGGAGAGAAGGCAGTTTAAAAATAAAAAAAATATATTATTATTACTATTAGTGTGAGTGGGCCCTTGAAATGCTTGGATGTCAGTTTCTGGGCTAGGCTTGGACACCGCCATTTGGACTTCATGATTACATGTTGGGATTAAATCTCAGTTCAGTTTTGGACAAACCATTATCAATCATAGGCTGCTTTCAAAAGTATTCAGTGCTTCTTCAGTATTAAACAACAAGGTACAATAACACTGACATCAGTATATTAGTGGCCCCAAATGACCTGGTTGCTTCCTACAGGTCTGCAATGCCAGAGGTCCAAAGAGTAAGACAGCAAACCACGACGAGAATCTGCTGCTGTTACAGCAGTGAGTTGCTCAAGCTATTGAGACGTCTTGACTCCAGTGTTTTGTAGGCTTAGGCCAGTGATTCTCAACCTGTGCGTCCCCAGGTGTTTTGGCCTACAATTCCCAGAAATTCTAGCCAGTTTACCATCTGTTGGGATTTCTGGGAGTTGAAGGCCAAAACATCTGGGGACCCACAGATCGGGAACCATTGGCCTAAGTGGAAACAGCCCCCCATTGCAATATTTTGCTTAAATTATGTTTACCAAGGAGGCAGCACGCAGGTGGTTCAGGAGATAAAATATTATGTTCTTATTGAAATGCCCCTAGTTCGAGACTCACACAAACAAAATACACACCAGCCCTTTATGGCATGTGACTGCTTTGTGCATTTACTTTATACTTTAGCATGCAATTCTGCCTCCTTTTGGAATGACAAGAATACAAACCACTTTAAAATGCCCAGGAGTTATTTATTTATTTATATCTCACCTTTCCCTTGATATAGTTACTCAAGCATTCATCACATATCACCTGAACACAGAAATCACTCCCAATCCATCACTTTATAATGCTAGAAACATACCAAACCTCAGCTGGGGCGTGCATAGAGCTGGAAAAATAAAAACAACATGTCTTTTCTAAAAGCCTTTAATCTCAGCATCTTTTCTTCTTCTTCTTCTTCAGGAGGTGGAGGAAAACGCAAAGGCAAAAGCAAAAAATGGAAGGAAATCCTGAAGTTTCCTCATATTAGTCAGTGTGAAGATCTTCGAAGAACAATAGGTAAGGACTATTTTCCTAGGTATTTTTTAAATGTTTTGATGAGCAGCCTTTCATAACACAGGAGATTCATTTTAAGTATTTATTTGTTTATTTCTTTATCATATTTATACCCCGCCTTTCTTAACCATGTAGGGGACTCAAGGCAGCTTAGGCTGCCTTATAGGCAACAATTCAATGCCATGTAAAACATACATATATAGTAAAATAAACATAAAATAAGTCTGACTGCTTGGGAAGGATAATGAAACCGGCTTATTAAAGTGAACATTTACCTGTCTTAAAAAGGAGGCAAAGTCTGTATGAAGTTAGCTCTTATTTGGATAAGCGACCCATATACATCTGGTTATGTTCAAATGAACCCAACATGTGTAGGGTTAAAAAACACTTGAACAGTTTTGTAGCCTTGCCCCTAATAGTTTAAGAAATGTGTTTGATTGTATCTTAAATGATGATACATAAAATGCAGGGCCTTTCCATAATGAAAGAAAAATGGGTTTAACTATTAAAATGGATGTCTTTCTGCTTCAAGAAAAATCAATGAAAGGGATTCCAACTTAGTCATACTTAGCATAGACCCATCAAAATAAATGATGCTTAAGCCAGGCATAGCTAACTTAATTAATGGGGATTCAGCTCAATGACTTGTCATCAGATCAACATTTAAAATACTGCCAGGAGGGAGGTAGAAGTAATTGTTACTCGTAACTTCTCCTGAGGCTAGAACAAGAGTAATTTTAAACTCCAGGGAGGTAATTGTTAATTTGTGGCCAGGAAAACTAATTTCAATAAGCACTGTGTTCCATTATTATTCCTATTATTTCCAGTCAAACAGTGAACAGAAGGTCAAAAGCACAGATGTGTCCTGCTTTCAGTCTTCCAATTATTTCTTAATATACTCGGTAAAAAGAATATGTAGCCTGTAGGAAAAACAAGGGAATTTCCATGTTATCAAAGAGAGCTCAGATTAGCTCCAAATTACTGTACATTCCTGTAGCACTTCCCATTAAGTTTTGTTAGTAACCCTGGGAAAGGATGCTGGTTTTGTGGTAGTGAAAAGGTTACAATTTCTTCATCAAGGCTATCAGCAAAAAGGCAAAAAACCATCCTCTTCCTATTGAATAAACATACTTTTGCTAGATGCCTATTTGATTCAAATATAGTTGACTCTCTATATTTGGGGACTTAATTGAAAAGTTTTCTCTACAGTCAGCTTCTGTTGGAGGTGTCACATTGGAGGACCTAGAGATTTCTAAAGAGATGTTCTCTCATGTAAAAAAATATTGGGTTTCTTATTTGCAGTTTTTCTACTTTCATGGGTTGCCGTCTGTTGCACACCAAGGCTGTGATGAGCACCTTTGAATCCACAAACACACCAGTGTTCTTTAAAAAGCAAAGCAGTTTATTGAAGATTAATATAGCAAGTGCCAAAAAGGTAAAAGGCAATCAAAAAGGAAATAAGAGAATGTCCAAAAAACAATCCATAGGCAATGTAAAGTTATACAGCAAAGTCCACAACAGGAGAACAGGATAGTTCCAAAGTCCAATTAAACAAGTCCACAGGATATAGCCCTTTAGTCTAAAAAGGTTATAGAACAAAGTCCCTTGAAGAATCAGGAGCAAGCTTGAACAAAACCAAATGCAGGAGCTTGAAATCAGGATACAACACTTACAAGAATCTCAACCTGGACATGAATCTGGAGCAAGATATTACATGAATTTCAGCATGAACAAAAAGACATAAAGCAGGCATGAAAGTTAAATGTTGAACTCACTGAATAGCATGGATTCATAGGCCCTATATTTATTCGGAAAGCCATGGCAAAAGCATTCCTTTTCCCTTGGTAAAACTCTCCCAAACCCCTTTTTTCTCTTAATCTTGCTGAACACCTCCTCTCTAAGTCCAGGTAGCGATCATGATAGATGTGCCCTTTGCAATCAAAGACTGCCTCCTCCGGTTTGCTCATTAGTACATTCCTTTCGCTATCTCGATCTAACCTTGACTGTTTGGCCTCAGCTTGTTTCACATTAGGCTGTCTCAAGACATCTTTGCCTTGGGAATCAACGATCCCAGAATCCTCAGTTTCACTTTGGCTAACTGCATTTTCTAGGCCATCATCTGCATTCACAAACCCCTGAGAATCAACAGAAACCTGATCATCAAAGTCAGACATGGGAACCTCTGAAGGGTCCTGATCATGATCATTCTCTTTTGAAACCTGTGGCAAAGAGACAATCACAGGCTGAACTCCTACACCAGTGGTCCTCAAACTAAGGCCCGAGGGCCGGATATGGCCCTCCAAGGTCATTTACTCAGCCCTCGCTCAAGGTCAACCTAAGTCTGAAATTATTTGAAAGCACACAACAACAACAATCCTATTTCATCAGCCAAAAGCAGGCCCACACTTCCCATTGAAATATTAATAAGTTTATATTTGTTATAATTGTTCATCATTTTAATTATTGTATTGTTTTAAATGTTTTTTGCACTACAAATAAGATATGTGCAGTGTGCATAGGAATTCATTCATGCTTTTTAAAAATTATAATCCGGTCCTCCAACAGTTTGAGGGACTGTGATCTGGCCCTCTGCTTAAAAAGTTTGAGGACTTCTGTCCTACACCATCAAATGTAGAAGGCTGACCCCAGAAAATGTGGATGTCTGACCGTACTACAAAACTAATTGTGGGAGAGAAGTCAAAAGGGCTTGTGCCAGCTTACTCTTACACCATCCCCCGGGGGGTGTTTCCTACTATCTTGATACACTACCCCAGAGATTGCTAGAGACAGGTCCATCCAAACATTTTTGCTGCCTGAGTTAATGGACAAACTAGCAGCCATGCTCCCCTTCTAGTCTTTCTATGTACAATAGCCAATAAGGTTAGCATTTAATACTCCATCATGGATGGCATATCAAGGATGTTATCCTTGAAGTGACTGGCTTGACCTTGAAGGAGCTGGGGGTGGCCACAGCTGACAGGGAGCTCTGGTGTGGGATAGTCCATGAGGTCACTAAGAGTTGGAAACGACTGAACGAATACACAATAATTCCATCATATCTTGAGGCAGAAAGCTTCCTTTACACTCTAGAACCACAGGTCATATGGCATGCACATCTCTGTCTTCCTAAGACCTCATTGTTACTCTGCAACTTGAGTCAGTAGCTTCACTTTGCCTGATAGTAGAGTGAACCCTGAAAAGAAGATAGACAATTCCTGAGTCTCAATTATTTAATAATAGCAATAAAATGGCTTCCCTCCTTTCCCAATTCTTACTGCCAAGAAAGCTTGTGTAAACAGAGGTGGATTTTTATGTGCATGTAAGAACTGTGGGTGCCATTTGGTTCTGACAGCTAAAGCAAATTGTTAAACTGGGGAAATGTTGTTCACTCTGATTTCAGTCCTTCTGATGAAAACAAATCTCCCAGCACCTTTATAAATCCTTTAAACAACTGTGTTATTGTGTACCATCTTCCATATTAATTGAACTAATGTTGAGATGTGACTAAACCCTGTTCTTTAGCTATTTTTGGATCTCTTCTTTTCAAATACTTGAATCTCAAAACTATTTTCTTTGAACACTGTCCCAGGACTGGACAAAATGTGGAGTGTTTTCTCCCATTTCTGCCTCTGGATGCATGGAATTGAATGAAAAATTTGTTTTTGCTCCTTCATACCATCAGAGAAAAGCAAGCCATTTTATGCATCTACAGAGACTGAAAATACTGAAGATGCTCAGTGCTGATACTTGACAGCTTCCAGGACTTTAAGGGACCACAAGGGAAATGAGCTGAAATGATCTCAGACCATGTTCTATTTACAGAATTTATTTCACAAAAGTTAATCCATTAAGGATTATTTTGGCAGTAGTGAGCTACAGAGAAACCAAGGAAGCCCTTGCTCTTTCCCCATAAAGGTCAGGCAACAAAATCCTCACCTCTCCCACCCCACCAAAAAACCCGCTAGAAGACCCATGTTTGACCTGTTTTTGTAAGTGCAGCCTAGAAGTAATACCACTAAGTAGTTTACTTTAATTTATTTGTGGTCAAGCGTTATACATTTCCTACTTGAATGGTATGACATATGCTGAATTTCTTCCAAAATTCAATACAATCCCAGTCAGGGGGGAAATGACCTTTAGAAATAGTTTTGAAGAAGGGTGTGAAGTTATAATTGGAAGTTTCGTAGTTTGCCATGATTTTATTGGGTGATACCAAGTTATTAACGCCAGTAAGTACTTATATAGGGATTGGGAACCAATTGTGGCAACTCCCTGGCTTACGGTTAACAGTCATTTCTTTCTAAACATTGTACAATGAGGCACGTCTAGCTCCTTGGGTACAAGTATTTCTTCTGCAATTTGGACTCTTAAGGCAAGATGGCTATTGAATTTCCCAAAAAGTATGGTACCAGATGTTCCCAATGAGCTGTGTAGATCTGTGAGCTTGTATTGAATACCTGCCTTCACTGGTCTCCGAGAGGCAGTGTGGCTACATTGCTAGGGTATTTCAACCTGAAAGTATTACTGTATATACTCAAGTATAAGCCGACCCAAATATAAGCTGAGGCACCTTATTTTACCACAAAAAAAAAAAAAAGGAAAACGCATTGACTTGACTATAAACCGAGGGTGGGACATTCACAAGCTACTGGTAAATTTCAAAATAAACATAGATACCAATAAAATTACATTAAATGAGGCATCGATAGGTTAAATGTTTTTGAATATTTACATAAAACTATAATTTAAGATAAGACTGTCCAACTCTGATTAAACCATTATTCTAACCTTCTTCAATGTAAATGTGCTTATGTATCCTTCCAATAACAATAAAGAGAGAAAAATAATAAATGTAATGATGATGATGATGATAATAATAATAATAATAATAATAATAATAATAATAATAATAGAGTAAAATAATACAGGGAACAATAACAATAACAAATAGAGTAAAATAATACATGTAATAATAATAATAGAGTAAAATAATACATGTAAAA